AAAGGAGACATATATAATACTCTTTGTAATACTTTAAGCAATAAAACAAAATTTAAAAAAATAAACAAAAACAAAAAGCAAAGAAGCTTTCTCTCTGGTAACAGGCTTGCCGGGTTTGTTCACACAGTCTCTGTAGCAGCCATGTGCCCTAGCAGCTGTGTGGCTCATAGCTGTGTGGACCTCAAGTAGTCTCCATGCCCAGCCTGGGTACTGGATAGAGCAGCACCAGCCGGCCATAGCACAGCCAGGAACTGGACTAAACTTTGACATGGCACACAATCTCTAGACATTGGCCCTATTTCTGGGCTTAATGAAAACAAAATTGGATTTTTCCCAAGGCGGGACAGATGGAGAAGAGACATTAGCAACCTGGGAACAGCCTTCTATCTATGGTGATATATAACCTGAACAACATCTAAAGAGATTGGGCACATCATTGCCTCAGTATTATTACTCCTTATAATGTGACTATTGGGATTTTGGTTATTTTTTGAGATATCTTCAAATACTTAGTTAGCTCTTCTCTGTATGAGCCTAGCTAAACTCAGTTTTAGCTCTGTTCCAGATCTCTCTTCCAGAGTCCACTAATAACCAATGAGGTGTATTGCCTTTTGATAGAAAATTGAGCCTGGTATGTTTTGGAGAGATGGTGCCAGTGTGCCTTCTAAAGCCTGTGGAAAACCATAGCCTTAAAGGTGACCCCTTTCTGGGTTTGGATCAACTCTTTTATTTTTTATTTAGGAAATCATCTAAAACTTACCGAGAAATTATAAGAATAAGAAGAATACAGAGATCACCTATATTCTTCATCCTGATTTACCTATTGTCAATATTTTACCCTATAGGTTAGCTGGCTAATATAGTCTTAAATTTTAATTTTCCTTCCGTCACTCTGCAAGTCTCCCCCTGCCCCCATTTTGGACATGTAATACGTTCTGGAGAGTCTTCAAAACTGAGTAGGGTATATATAGGGTGTCCCAAAACTCACGCAAGAAGTAATTTTGATAGAAAACACAGGTTTATAATTAAAAATTGTAAATTTTTTGATTCATAAACTATACAGTATAGGGTTATGTATGGAATAGCACATCGGGTAAATGGCCTCCATAGCTTTGCTGGCACATATGCAAAGCCATGGTCTTCATTGGTCTTCATTGTCCCTGCTGCTGGGCCGTAATTGGTACTTGGTAATGCTTATCGAATTGAAGGGATTGAAATCAAAGGGCAACAGACATTAGAACCTGATTCAATAAACCAAGTACAATTAGGCTTTTATTTTTTGTTGTTGTTGTTAATGCTCACGCAAAATTCAAATCTTGCGTGAATTTTGGGATACCCTATACATTTGCTTCTTGAAGCCTGGATCTGTCTTGTCCCTATTTGTGGTTTCACCAGCAATATTAGAGTTGAGTCAGCCTAATTTATCTTTGAAGAATAATATTGCAAATTTCTGTAGTGGTAGAAGAATTTGTGTGCATTCTGGTAGGAAGTACATGGTGTGGAGGGTGGAAGTTGTTAACCTAAATGTTTTCTGAAATTGCTGAGGTTGAAGATTTGGAGTGGAATTATATTGGAGCAAAAGAAGATAGGTGGTGTTCCTTGATTAAGTTCTATTTTGGAGGCAGAGCTACAAACTTACTGTCACTTAACTATAGTTGAAGTCCGTAGAGATGTTAATAAAATTACCTAGGTTGGTAAATTTAGTACTACTTGGTCAGTTACTCTTTTTCTTGTTCCTCCCTGTAGGAGATGTGCAAAAGAGTATAGGGCACCCTTTCCTGTTGGATCAGAGTTCACGAAACTAAAGTCCTTTGTAAAATCTAGAACTCAATGCTATCAGTATCTAAGACTTTCTGTGTGCTTCAGGACTGCTGGGATTATCAGGCAGGCCTGGATTGTCAAGAATGTAAGACGCCCTCGTTTTCTTAGAGTAGGAAGATGTAAAAGAATTTTGTGATCACATAAACATAAATAGAAGTTACAAAATTGATATAAATACAAAAAATTAGACACATAAACACAAATATTAATCATTGCAGTGCTACAGCAAGCACTTAAAGAAAATTAAATGTCCTGTATTAGGATTAAGGTATGGGGTATCAGTTAGAATGTGGAACATTCATATCATTCACATCCATGGAATTGAATTTTATACATCCATTAAACATCATAACTCAGATTATCTAAACATGTAAAAATACTTGTGACATAATATGGAAAAATCAATATACATTTCCTGCACGTGTGATTATAACTAAAGCTACATATACTTATGAGTAACATGATAGTAATAACTTATAGTAATGTTGTTATATAGCATTTTTGGTAGAACAGAAATTAACCACTTAAAAAATGAACTTTATTTTTTAGAGCAGTTTTAGGTTCATAGCAAAATTGAGCAAAAGGCACAGAGAATTCTCGTACACCCCCACATGTGTACAGACTCCCCCATTGTCAACATCCCCCATCAGTGATACATTTGTTACAATTGATGAACTTTTAGTGAATCATCATTAACACCCAGAGTTCATAGCCACTTAAAAAAAAAATGAAGTTGTTTGAATTTTGAAATCCCTCCAGGGTTTATTGGTCAACAATCCAGAAATCTGTACGCAGGGAATCTTACACACTCACTCCCTGACAGCTGCTAGAGGCTGAACGTTTATAAAAATTAAACCAATAGGGAAATTTATTCCAGTTAATCCCCCTCCAGAAGACCTCTATCCCCAACCTAGTTTGCCTTTTAACTCTTCGTTTCCCTCTCACAGTCGTGACTGGGCTGTGCCCGTTGGTTGTGATTGAGCATCTCTCTCCGCACAGTTACATGTGGACTTGTCTTCTTCCATCTCCCTCTAGGCAGTACGTTTTCAACTGAGCGCCTCAAGCTTCAACTCCAGAAGGAATCCCTAGATGAGCTGAGGAAAGAGCGCACTGCGAAAAGGTAAATGAAACTCAGAGAATAACTGTTGTGAGTGTCAAGTTTACTTTGAGGATAGGATTTGGAAAAGTAGGATTCTTTAAAAACTGCTGTTATTAATTTGTATTCTACACACCTCAGGGACATATTCTTTTATTCAACAAATATTTATTAAACACTTACTATGTCTCATACACTGATAGAGGCAGTTATCAAAGCTCCTAGTATATACTCATAATCAGAAATGAGAACTGTTCTAGTTTTCAAGGCCATAGCACCATGACTTGATGTCTGAATCTTCTCCTCTTCCGGTCAACATGTAGTAGAGTTGATAGGTTTTTCTTCAGTCATTTCTTTAGATTTACTGCTGTTTAGTGTTAGCTCATTTGGATTACCTCAACAGCTCTAGATGATCTCTCTCACATCATTCTCTCCGTCTTTCCAGTTTATCCTCCACGTTGTTATCAGACCTCTCCTCTATTTTTACCATATATTTTTTCTTTTTTTAAGAGCTATGGTGATTGTTTTGCTTAACTTTCAAATAACCTTTAATAATTGGTGCTATACCACTGTAGCTAATTTTAGTCACCACAACATTCACTTAACAAATGCTAATGCTTCTTCTCTTTCTTTTTTTCTAGCACATGCTCAGTTCGTTGCCTCCTCTATTTTTTTGCTCATCCTTACTCATTTGTGTGTTTTCTTTCAGGAAAGTAATTTCATCCTGCATTTTTCTTTAAAAAACCTTAGCAATTGAAGACTTGAGCATGTTAGACCCAGAAAGAACCCTGGATTTCACCTAGTCTATTCCTCTCAGTTAGCAGATAGGAAAGCAAGGCTCTTGGGAGTTACTCTTTGTTCAACTCACTAGGAAAGCAGAATTAGATCCTCTATGTCTTCAATGATGTTTGCATTATACAACTACATTTACATTTCACTTTAACCGACAGCTTCTCCTAAATGCTTTTTCCCCCTTACATTCTTAATATAGTTGAGCAGGTATTTGTACTGTAGGTGTTTCATCTGTTGTTTATGTTTCTTGAGCAGTTCAAAAGAAGAGCTGCATCATCTCATGCTGCAGTTTTTGCTTGTCTGTTCTTTTTCTTAAATTATTTTCCTAATCTGGCAGCAGTTTTTTTGAGGTAGTTGTAGCATGTAGTTGTAAGTGAAAAATAAAATATTTTTTTAAGGAACTACTAGATGGATGATATATCCTGAAATCATATTAAATGAGATGGTGGTAGCCTTATAGGTCCTCTTTAAACCTTGTTTCCTTGTTTATAAAATGGATATAATAATATTAACCTAATAGCGTTGTTATAATAATTGAATAAAGCCCTTTGTAAAGCTCTTGGCATATAGTGGTAGGTGCTCGGTCAGTGATGATTTATACCCTTTACATCCCTTAAAGGGTATACACATATACTAGGCCTCAGTATGTATAGAGTTGGCTTGGTTGATAGTAGTTAGAGATAGGTAAGGATGTATGTTAGATAATATTCTTGCCTCTACTGCTAAGTTTCTATGGTCTAGTCTACTAGTAGACTGTGCAGTCTTTTTTTGTGTCAGTTATGTGGAAATAAATGTTTGAAAGCCTGTAAGCATTTTTTTTTTTTAACAAATGTACTTTTTTTCTTCTCCTTAGAGAACTTTTCCTGAAGACTAATGCTCAGTTGACAATTCGTTGCAGGCAGTTACTATCTGAGCTTTCCTACATTTATCCAATTGATTTGGTAAGTTTCAAATTCTATGAAAAAATATTGTTTTGTTTTAAAAGATGATTTCTATTTGAAATTTTCTCTCAATGAAAAAACCCATTGCTCTAGTCTTAGTCATATGCTCTGTCATGATTTCATTCAGGAGCTAATATCCATTTTAAAAATAGATTTAGATTTGGTCGGCATTAAGTTCCACCATTAATTTTTCATACCAGTTTGTTGGAGGGATGTGCTCATCTTCGTCTGAAAGAATACCAAAATCTTTAGGATCTTCTCATTCAAACACATTATCAGCTACCACCATTTCTTTTTTTAAAATATATTTTTACTGATTTTTAGAGAGAAAAAGGAAGAGGGATAGAGAGATAGAAACATCGATGAGAGAGAAACGTCAATTGGCTGTCTCCTGCACACCCCCTACTGGGTGTCAAAACCCCTATTTGGGCATATGTCCTGACCAGGAATCGAACCAGTGACCTCTTGGTTCATGAGTTGATACCCAACCACTAAGCTTCACTGGCCAGGCTCAACTACCACCATTTCTTTTCTTTTTTTAATTAAATCTTTATTGTTCAGATTATTACATTTGTTCCTCTTTTTTCCCCCCATAACTCCCCTCCTCCCAGTTCCCACCCCACCCTCCGCCCTCACTCCCCACCCACTGTCCTCATCCATAGGTGCACGATTTTTGTCCAGTCTCTTCCCGCATCTCCCACACCCCCTT